GGCCCGCGGCGGGGTAGCTCGGCCCCGAGCTCCTCTCGCCCGCTGCGACCGCGCCCGAAGCCGACCCCCGACGGACTGGCGCCTCGGACTCTTCCAGGGCAGCCGCCTCCGCCTCTATGTCCGCGCTGCCGCGCTCAGGCGAGGCCGAGTATTCTCGTCGCTGCTCGAGGCAGCCCTGCGACGATGCACGATCGTCTCAGGCGCCTTCTCCTGCGCCCTCGCCCGGAAGACCTCGGCGCGCCTCCTCTCCTCGGCGCGATCCGCGCGATAGGAAGCCTGCCCGCCGATCACGAGCGCCCAGCATGCCGTGGCGGCCGAGAACTCTGCCTGCAGCGCAGTCGCCGGACCCCACCGCGAGAAAGAGCTTCCGCCCCCACCTCGTCGTTCCAGCGCTCGGCCAAATCTCCCAAGGCGCGCGGGGCTGGGCGCGCCAGCAAACCTGGGCGCGCCACTCGGAAAAAGTTCCCGAGCCATCGAGGTCCTGGCTCGTCGTTCGATTGAACGCAAGCCGCCGGTCGTCCACTTCCAGGACTTCCGTCTCGGCCGCCGCGTCTTCGCCTGCTCCGCAATCGCCCCCGCGCTCGCGGTGGGCCTGGCGCGCGGGCCCCGACCCCGGCCCTCCGCCTTGCGCCCCCTGCACTCCCTCGGGGCCGGCCAGGGCTTTCACCGCGCGGCGCCTGCTTGGATGAGAGATGGGGTTGTTGAGAGATGCAACGTCTGGCATATTTGATGCGGGCTGTTTGGAATTGCCAGACGCTTGCTAGCGTTTGCCGCGACCTGCAGCAGCACCTTAAGAACCATATTCCTTGGGGCCCTCCAAACGGTTGGCAAGTGGTTTAGGAAGGACTTAGTAAGACGCCCATTTAAACCCCTGCCCCCGATAAACAGTTAGCAACACTCTTGCCGGCGAGTTGCTAACCCGATCGCAGGGGGAAAAACAAGAAACCGACGAACAAACACCGCCCCGTGGAACTCCCTGATCGCCAAGTTTCTCTTGGGGGTATTCAGAGGCGGATCGCTAGCATGCGAACTATATGTGTTGTTATCTTCCTCGTCTCCTTCTTCCTCTTCGGTGTATCATAGCGGCCATGCCCTTCCCCCCGCCCATATTCTTGGTGTGTGTGTGTGTGTGTGTGTGTGTGTGTGTGTGTGTGTGTGTGTGTGTGTGTGTGTGTGTGTGTGTGTGTGTGTGTGTGTGTGTGTGTGTGTGTGTGTGTGTGTGTGTGTGTGTGTGTGTGTGTGTGTGTGTGAGTGTGTGTTTTTTGGGGGGTGGTCCGAGAACGTCGCGCGCGTGGGGCCAGAGCGCGGGCGCGGACAGTTATTCCCAGGATGTGGTGTCTTGATATTTCGGTGCGTTCTTCCTCCTCCTCTTCGCGCCCTTCCCCCCCCCCTCCCCCCCCCCCATGCGCCCCTTGGGTGGCTGCTGCGGCGGAGGTCGGCAGGCAGGCTCTGAATATAAACGACCACTACTTGGGGAAATCGAAGTGCGAAGATGACGGCACACGGCCCGCGTTTATATCGGATCAGTTCACCGTGCGAAGCGGATGCACAACAGCGAGGCGATCATCAATGAAGCAAGTCGCAACCACATCGATGATGTCTCCAAGGCCTACGAGAATAGGGGCGCCCCTCGATGCCCACGCACTACGCCGCGAATGCTTGGCGGCGCACTCGCATGGCTGCAAAACAACTGTCTGGGCAATTGGCTACTCGCCCCCGCGCCGCGAGGCGACGCGGTCTCCGCGCGACGCAACTCCACGCTCATCAATTCGGGCCTTGCTCGGATAGACGCGATCGCCGTCGCCGAAATGATCTAGAAGAAAGGCCTTCAACTTTTTCGTCGGTGCCTTTGGACACAGCAACCCTGGGGAGATGTCTAAACGCGCAGACGCGGACAGCACGTGCAACGACATAGAGACGAGACCCTTTATGACAGGAGAAATGTCATTATCGTGGTCTTCACCGAATGCGATGGCACCCCTGTGCCTGGGCGAGAAGCCCCACCGACCCACGCGCCCACTGTGATGGAGCAGACCGTGGAACTTCCGCATCAAGTTATCGACGCCTAATGCGTGAACGTACGAAAGGGAAAAACCACGTGTTGCAGTGGCCACTCGTTGGGCCGAAATGGCCAACTTACGACAATCCCACATGATGTGAATGGGAATAGACATGCTTGTCAGGCACTGAACAGCATGAGTGGCCACCCCGCGGGGCAATACCACGACTCGACGATAATGAACAATAACTGGGCGCAGCGACAAGGCCTCAGATACCGAACGCCGCCAACGCGATGCGCCCCAAGACCCAGCAGACCTTTTCTTCTTAAGTGTTTCTGTTCCTGCGACAGACCTGTCTTGGATCCTCGATGGCCAACGGAATTTCGTCACGTAGTCATGGACGCTCGCAGGCTTGATGCCGACCCCCGAAATCGCCTCGACAACTTCGTAAAGCACTGTTTGCCAAATACCCTGCAACTGGTTGGGCCCCCAGTCGTAGCAATTTGGCGTCGACGGATCAAGGGTGCTCCTGAGACGTGGGCCCAGCGACATGCTGCGTGGTGAAGCTGTCCAGCCCAACAGTTTCTCACGGTTTTCCCATGCACCCTCTTTCATGCGGGGTCGACATGCAACGAGGGAATCTACCACGTGCAGCATGATTGCCTTTGGTGCCGAAGCGCACTCATCAAAATAAGACACGAAAAAATGAAACCTCAGGGAACTGCTGCCATCGATGAGGCCCGCAGCGACCCAATGTTTGTGCATTAAGTTCACGCGTTGAAGGCGCGGCATGATGCCGCCACAGCCCTTGCGCATCCAGACTCTGTGCAAGGCGCCATCATCACCGAGCACCACAATGAGATCAGCCGCGAGCCGAAACGTAAACCAACTCGCCAAATCCATGCCGACGCAACCTAAACGGAGATTGTGCGGAGCAGATAGGAACATGAGCTTAAGCGCACGCCCCATCAGTTGCGCCATTCCGCCTTCGCATTGAAACACAATCATTGGCGACGACCCCCACGGTTAACCGAACACCTTCTCTTGACAAGGCCGCGGGTCCAAACTCCCAGATCGAACAATATGTGCATTGCATCGCTATGTTATTCTGCCTGTTTAATATGTTGCCTGCGTTTGCTTCGTCGCAATGCACGGTGATCGACCGCGGCGGCTGTTGACAACGTGGAATAGCATGCCCAGGGCGCGCGTTCGCGTGCATCTGGCCAGAACATCACAGCCCCGAGAGACAAAAAACAAAAAAACGGGGCAAATCGCCGCGCAGTCGCTTTACCCAGCCGCAAAAAAATACCAAAACGGCACTATCCCACGGCAGCCTCTTCCTCCCTTGCTCCGCCGACTCCTCTCATTCCCCCCTCCTCCACCCCTCGCCCCCCCCCCCCCCCTTCTCCGCCCCCCCCCCCCCCCCCCCCATCCGATCCCTCCCCCGCGTCCTCTTCCGGGCAGGCGTGGAGCGAGGCGTGGACGCAAGCGAGCGAGCGCCTTGGATATCGTACGTCCTACATAGCAAACGCGAGAACATTTCGCACTTTCCAGCCGCGCACAAGTAAGGAATGGGCGAAGCAATCTCGACCTCGACAGGCTCGCCTGATTTAGACATCAGTTCCACTCTCGTTAGCAATGACCCGAACTCCATATTATTACATGCGTCCAGATTCCTAACGTCGCGCGCATCCACCGGGCCACGCGCGTCAAGTAAGTCCCCGGATGCGAAAGCTGCCACGCGGGCAGACAGCGCTGATTGACTCGCATGTGCTAGGTTGTCTCGGGCAGCGCCGACCTTTCTAAGCTCGGCATCTCGATCCATGGATGGGCCGCTGAAAGCGAGCGCGCAAGCACTGATATTGGAATTGTCCACCAAGCCCCCCAATATGCACCCCCCAAACGGCACGTCAAAATCCCCCCCCCCTCCAGCCCGCCGTCGGAACGCCGCCATTCGGCCTCCGAGAGGCCTGTGGCCCACGGCCCAGGCGCTGCAATAGGTTGGGGCACGCCGTTGGGCCATTTCTATCACCTAAATCGCAGCGGGCCTTCGATCCCTCATCGGGGGCCGGCGGAATCAGAGGCGCGAGGCCCGGAATGGCCAATGTTAGTTCGACGCCCCCTCAAGCAGAGGTAATGTCAGGGGGCCCCCATGCTAGTTCGCCCCCATCTGAGCTGACACCTGCAAGCGTGCGTTCGGGCTGAAGCAACGCGCGCGTGCGCTGGAGAGCTCATGTGCGATGGCGTCTGCGGCGGTCACTGCGCGCGCGTCTAGAAGGAAGCGCCTGGCAACGCAACTGTCAGTGTAACTGCTCAGGGACGGCCGCGGCGCTGGGCGACATGTTTTCTGACGCGCTCTACACGCGCTGCCTGGTGCAACGGCCCGGGGGGGGGGGGGGGGGGCGCGGGGGGGGGGGGGGCGTTAGTCCGATGCCCAGCCAGAGTAGCATCGGCAATCGTGCATTCGGACTGATACAAGACGCGCACATACACGCATGCCCATTGTTTGTTGCATTCGCTGCGGCGACAGTTTGCACGGCCAGAAGCAAGCCCCCGACGCGCCCTTGAAGGAGGCACCTGGATCATCACTGCTCGCAACTCTGACCTGGCCCCTGGAACCCTCCTGAGAGGGGGGGATGGGGATCTCTCTCCTGTTGCTGCTTCTCCTCCACTGTGCGATTTGCGCCGCTTCCTGCTTGCCCTCCGTTGTGCGATGATTATGCGCGCAGGGTAGTGAGTGCCAGGGGCGGGGCAAGGCAAATCGTTCGCCTGCATGCAACTCCGCGCGCGATCCGCGCTAACATGCTTCTACTTCGTTTGAGTCATGCTGGGGGAATTCTGCACGTGGCCTCTATGCTATCAGGTTGCGATGCATGCAATCACTGGGGCTCTTGTTTCAAGATGCGTTGTTTCCTCCTCTTCCTTCGTGGTGTGAGTTGCGTTGCTACATCCTCTTCCTCAGTTGTGCGATTGCTGTTGCTTCCTCTTCTTCCGCAACGCCTCCCTCGACGCAACTCCCCATGCTGCGAGTCTGGCAAAGGGCGTCGTCGCTGGCGCCGCCGTGCCTCATCATGTACGGGTGGAGGTTCGACTGGCCTAGTCCCGCGAGCTCGGCGACCCGCTTGAAAAGGCTCGAGAATCTCCGATCGTCGAAGGACCATACGTTCTCGTGGCCAGAGCGCTTCTTCAAGGTCGAGAACCGCGGGTACAGGAAGACCAGCTCGGGGCTGTCGAGCAGGAGGCTCTCGTCGAACTCATTGGTCTTCGTGGGGATCGCCTCCTCCTCGGGGGCCAACAACAGCGCCCAGTACCTCGTGCCCGGGCCGGGCAACGGCGGGATGAGCTGGTTGAGTTTCAGCCACAAGCACTCGCTCGGCCTCAGGTACGTGCGGAACAAGAAGATCAGGCACTGGCCGAACTCCAGCTCGCCCATGTGGAGGGCTGCCCCCCACCAAAGCGCACAGCCCTATCCAGGGCAGCGGTGCTCTGCTGAGACCTGGAGCCAAACGCCTGAAGCCTTTCAGCGCCATCTTGGCCCGCTCTAGCACTTTGCCGCTGCGGATCCCAGGCGCCCTGTACTCGAGAGCTGCGATCACCTTCTCGCCCGAGTCGTGGTTGTGGCCCGAGAAGTACAGGTGTTCTAAATACTCGAGCATCGCTGTGGAGATGTCGTCGCTGGTGCTCAGTGGCAGGCTGTTGTCGCTGGCCCAAGTCTGGAGTCCCCGAAAGCACCTGTCGTACATCATCGCAGAAGGACGTGTCACTTTGCTCACCTCCAAGAAGTACTGGCCGAAGCTGCGCGCGTGGCGGGTCTCGCTCTGATGAGCAAGCTGACGACGCCTCGCTCTCTGCCTGCGTTGTTGCCCCGCTGGCTGCTGGCTGACCTCTGTCACAGGTCTCGTGGCTGGCAATGACGTGCTCCTCCGGGCCAAGCTGCTCGGAGGCTGAGTCATCAGAGTCGGAGTCCTCGTAGAACCCATCCTTGTCCCAGCTGCGCCAATCGCCTGGTGAACCCAACGGGCGAGACCCGCTGCTCGGATGCCAGTCCGCGTCGTCGAACTCGGGCGGGACGCCCGAATCGGCATCGGCCCTGGCGAGCTCGTCGACAGCAGCCCTGAGCGCGGCACGCGCCTCCCCATCTCGGGTTTCCCAAGGGGGGCGAGCGTCGCGCCAACCGCCTCCGCCCTGAACGGGCGGCCCCGACTTGAACCGTGAAGCGGCGTCGGCAGGATTGAACGCTGAAGGCACCCACCTGGACACGAAGTCTGAATCTGAAGCCATGGACAGAGCGGCCAGCTGGCGACTATGTCGGTTGATGGTAGCATTGCTAGCACGCCCCTTCCCCTGCGCCAGGACAAAGCCAATATTGTCTCCCAAGAAGAGGTGACGATGAGAGAACTGACGCTCTGATCGAAGACGATGTCTGCCAGCAATAACGGTGGCGGGACCCTCCGAGGAAGCAATGTTCTCGGCTACGCGCAAGCGCCCTCGCACCTTCAGACCCCAAGAGTTGAAGTCACATATATTGTCTCGATCCACATCAAGCAGCTCTAAAGGTACCTCATCGGGCGGCGTGCCGGCCAAAGGGCTGGAGCCTAGCTGCGGCTTCTCGGCGTCCTCTAAAGCTCGCTGACGTGCATGCATGGCATCCTCGACAAAGAACCTCCAGCGCTCGCTCTGGCGCCCCCAAGCTCTCACCTTGTCAACTCTGAAATGCTGTGGCGTTGGCGCCCTCTGAGTCGGACGCTGACATCCAGCGAAGCTCCTTCGTCGCAGCAGGTCAGAGCCTGATGCGACTGTCCCCAGCGAAGTCTATCAAGCGGTAGATGGCGTGCGGGATGCTGAGCAAGCACCTCCTCAGGATGGCAGACCAGGTGAAGTGGCCCACGATGCGGTGAAGCAACTTGCCAGACGCGTACCCGTCCTCCAGGAGAGCTGCGATGGCAAGCCGCACCTTCCAGCAACGGCGGCGGCCAACTGAAATCCGCCCGGTAGCGCGGTCCAACGTCACGTCATGCCTGTGAACTGCGTCTCCGGAAGTCCGTGCTCGAGCTCCTTACACTACAGTCCGTCAGCGGCCAGCTGGGCGCACAGCTTCTTGGCCATGTCCCGCACGACGCCGTCGTCGGTGCCCACGACCCCCGCGTTGCCAACGTAGATGGCAGTGCCGAATTTGCCGTCGGTGATGTCAGGGGCCTGTTGCTTGTCGAGCAGGAAGGCCTCTGGGGGCACGCCCGCTCTGAGAGCACTGGCCGTTGCCATGGCCTGACGAAAGTAGAGAGCCCAAGACCAGCCCATCGCCATGACCTCCAAGTGCGGAGTGACGTAGCCCGATGATGGCAAGTCAAGCTTGCTGGCCAGCTAGGGGTTGGTTCGGTGGAGGTGCTTTGCGGACGCGCGAGGCAAGGCGAAATACCCGGAAACTCCAGGAAGGGCTTTGCATCGATAGAAGGCGTTGTCGACGTCCATCTGAGACAGGACCAAATCATCCGAAAGCCCGATCTCCTCTGACGCCCGCGAGGCTGGTGTGGGGAGCCTCGAATGTGCGGGCTCCTCGAACAAGTCGTGACCGCCCTGGCGTCCGGTATCATCCGCAGTCGCCCGTCCTTCTTCGCGACGAAGAAGATGCCAACCGTGGCGGGGGCGCCCTGGCGGATGCTGACCAAGTTGGCCTGGGGCATCTGCATGATGAAGCTACTGTAGCGGACCTGGACCTTCACGAGAGCAGGATCACTATAAGGTTGAATACTGGCAGCAGCAAGCGTAGAGCCAGAAGAAGCCTCTCTCCGCAAGCTAGTCGAAATAGACCTCCAGCGTTGCGAAGCCAAGCCAGACAGCACCTGCTCGCCGTCCGCGAGGCCGCCCAGGAAGGGCAACGAGGCCAAGTCAGGCTGGAAGCTGCGTCGTGGGTCGCTGTCGGCGTAACCAGGACGACTGCCGCCAAGCTCGCTCAGGGCTTGCGCGGCCGTGCATGGTAGAGGCGGTATAGACCTGTAGATGTCCGAAATGATCTCGACACTACGGCGTTGAGCAAGAGACTCACCCAGGCCTGGCGGAGGATGAATTGTGCAACCGAACATATCGTTGAGGCACTGCACTGCCGAATTCGCCCAAGCCTGCCAATGCCGACGAACATGCGCGAGACGGCGCACTGCGCGGCGCCCAGAGGCTGGATAACAACATTGATCTTCTTGAGGAAACGGCGAAGCCATCGGTAGTAGCTCACGACCTATCGGCATCCCTGATGTCGGCGACTGGGCGGGAAGGCCAGCCGCCTGGGCGCTCAAGACTTCCCAGCCCCCCGCTCCGGCAGACGCTCCAGCCTCTCTCTGGGCTTTGGCGAATGCCTTGGCGGCGGCTCGCTCGGCCTTTGACTTCCCCTTCGGCCCGTCGGGGTGCTGCAGCAAGCCTGCAGCCGCGTCAACCGATGACTGTTGACGGCCAGCGTGGGCGGCCTGCCCTGCCTGAGGTCTCTTCTCCTCGTTGAGCTTCCGCGACTCCTTCGCTATGGTGCTCTCGCGGTGGAGCTCCGAGGCCACGTATTCCTCGAGGAGAGGGCAGAGCATCAACTGGCCGCGCGTCTCGCCGACCCCCAAGTACAAGAACTCATCAGCCAGAAAGGGGTCGACCTGGCTGTCCGTCTTCAGCAAGCGGCGCTTGTGGCGGTACTCGGCCAGCTGCGCTCGTCTGAGCAGTAACTCCACGAACGAGAGCTCCGCGGCGTTGACCTGGTCATACGTCAGGGCGTACTCCACAGCCTTCATGGCCGTACTCCACAGCCTTCATGGCCGCAATCGAGAGGTTGCATGTAGATTTCCACCACGAGCGCCGAGCTCTCGGATGGCCGTTGGTCTGGAGAATGAACTGCAAGCACCACTTGGTAGTCCTCGGCCCCGTGAGGGGCCACGAGTCCCAAGCAGTCTCCGTGACCAGGTCCACTGCAACCTTGAAATCCTTGAAGCGCTTGCCCAGCCGATCCCTGGTAACTTCCAGGATGCGCGCGTCCAGCTCCAGCTCTGCGTCCTCGTCGCCAGCCTCGCCTGTCGTGAGGCTCCGATCTGCGATCAGCTTCAACTGGTCGCCCTGCTGCAGCAAGCCGAACTGCGGACCAAGGATCCAAGCCTGACCTACAGGAGAGTCGAGCGGCACGACGCTGGACCCGCTGACGTCGCACCAACGATGATCAGGAGCTGGCAGGCGGCCCAGGCCACACGTGACGGGCAATCTCCCCAGCACCTTCAGCGAGCGATCCTCGTCGAGCGACAAGCTGGGAGGCGGCAGAGGCGGTACGGCAGTGGCCTCGGGCGTCCGGGTCCCCGCTGGTGCCAATCCTCCTTCCTCGGCCTCCACCGGCCTACCGTCGCCCTCGCCGATGTCCGCGTCCAGAGCTGGAATCGCTCGGCCCTGATTCTGAGCCCGACAAGCTGCTCAAACTCTCTCGTACTGCGCGGTCCTGAGCACCTGTCCAGATGCGAACACCCGCCCCCAGTGCGACTGTGGACCCAGGCGCTGGTCGCGGATCGGGGCCCCCTCGAGGTCGCATGGTGCGATGATGCCGAGCAGCGGAGGCACGCTCAGCTCCTCCGGGTAGATGTCTCCGGTGGGCGTCATCACCCACATGATCACCGCTCCTGGTTCGTCGGGAGGCTCGCCCATCACGCGGGACAACACTGGCGCGGTGCAAGGCTCGATCAAGAGCCGATGGTGCCACATCCTGCGGTCTGTGTCGTAGCGAACGACCACCTCGCAGCCTGGGCGCATATACCTCTGCGGAAGGTCCAACATGGCGTCTCCAGGCAATCGGGTTGAGAGCCGCACCCATCGCCAGCCCGAACACGAACGTAAAGACACAGAAGCTGAACGGCGAACCCAGGTAGCTGCTCTGCACCGCACACGAAAGAGCTGAAGAGGCGATGGGCGAGATGGAATGCCAAATCAACTTGGCGGCCTCCCACAGGCTAGCTGTGACCGTCAAGATCATTCACCTCAGGCGTCGCCGCCCTCTAAAAGACTTGAGCGAGAAACGGTTGCGGCCGAGAGGGACAGAGACATACGTTCAGAGAACTGTAACATATATATATATGTGTGCATATATATATATACAACTACATATATATGTATACATTATACTATATATACAAACATGCATGCATGCATACATACATACACACATACATACATGCATGCATACATACAAACATATGGGCCGCTGGGTCGATCGGCAGGTGCCCCCAGCCAAACGGCAGCCCCCCCCCCCCCAAAAAAAAAAAAAAAAAAACAACAACAACAAACAAACAAGAGAAAACAACAAAAAAGACGGGGGGGCAAAGAGGCAACAACATACAAAGAGGCCACGCTGCCACGCACTTAGCCTTGCAACAGGCAAACAAATATCACCCACTTCCGCTTGCTGCTATACAGTACGGGGCAGGCAAATAACAACCACCTGTTACCGTCACCTGCGCAACAGCGCGGGTAGAAGCTAATGAATGCGACCTGCGGCGCGCGCGGCCACCAAGTAGTGCGCGAACAGACCTTACGCCAACCATCACCACGGTGTATATATATATATATATATACGTATGTACATGTACAAACGTATATATGTATATTATGTATATAGATGAGCTGGCTGAGGGAACGAGTCGATAGATAGGTATATCGGCTGATATCTATTTATACACATATATGTATCACGTACCCAAAAGGGGTCCACAGAGCTCACCAGCAGGCCTAGAAGGGCGCTCGAGAGTGCTCTGCAAGTGCCTTGGCAGCCCTGCATATATTGTAATGATGCCGCCCTCGGGCACCCTCACTGTGGAGGTCGCCTGGGGCGGGGGCGGCGCGTGCTACATTGTGCACATGATAGGCCAACGCAACGCGCTCGACGATCTCTGGCGTTGGAGAACAGTCGAGGCCGAGACGCGTGGATGGGCGCGATGGGGGCAAAACGGGGTGGTATACAAGCCTCCTCAGCACAGGGCATTCAACATAGTGATCCATCATATCCTCGCGCTCGGGACAGCCAAACAAGCGCGGCTTCTGATGCGTAGAGTGAAGCCTGCGGCTGGTAAGCCAGCCACCCACTGCAGTTTTGATGACAGCACTTTGCCA